TTGTGAAGGATATTACTGTACTGTAATTGTGATCTTTTTAATTTACAAAATGCCAAAAGTTACCCAAAGGAAGCGCCTGACGGTTGCACAGAAGCTGGAGTTAATTAAGAAACTTGATAAAGGATATTCTCATGCACGAGCAGCAGCAGAGTTTAACATTCAACATAATTGTCAATAGTGAAGTAGAATTAGAACTCATGTGAATTAGTAGTAAGGCTAGCTGTTGTGTGAAGTGAGTGCCTGAAATAAGTGTACATACAGTATGTACCCTGTATACAATATAACAATATAAAACAAGCGCTGCAGAGGATGACGTAATCTTCACAGCTTCGTAATCTTCAGCTTCATTAAAAGTAAGTCAATTTACCAATTTTATTATAGTATTACAAGATATTAATTGTTTTTTTTCAACAAAAGCTACATATTAGTCTCTGCAAATGTATATTCTATCGTCAGCAGAGAAAAGGTGAGCTCAAAATATTTCGTCTTGGCTAGCTCTCAGTGACAAGGCCCGATCGCCATTGTTATGGCATGGCCGCCACAGCCTGTGTCGTACCATTAAAAATACATTACCTGCACTGTTCAGGGTAAATCAAAACACATCTCTAAAATTTTATTAAGACAATATTAACTCACTGATTGATACATGAAATATTTTTTCAATACAAAGGAATGAATCAATTTTTTCCCACCCATCTGGACTTGATCAGAGCGTGTTCACTCATCATCCATGCAGCAGCCAGCAACTGGCTTAATCGTCGGCCGTGCACTAAATTGGAATGCAATTACACAATGAACTTTATTTAATTTTAGTTATACAGTATAAAATATATCCTACCTGAATGTTACTTGAAAAATTACCCGACCCAACTTAACGTCGGAAATAACGGAGCTCCGTAAATAACGACTTGGGCTCAGCCCCATATAGGCTGTTAATTTGAGTGGATACTGTAGATATGTGGGCCTGTGGGCTACTCCAAGCAACAGCCTGTTGGACCAAGCTCTCTTAAGTCAAGCCTGGCCCTGGGCTGGGCTTAGGGAGTAGAACAACTCCCAGAACATTATCCAGGTATAATCCAGCAATGCATCATCTCTGGTGTTGGGGCATCATGACCAACATTCACCTGGCTTCCCAGGGTAGATGGTTGGGGCATTACTTTGGGTGTACAACACAGTGTATGGGTGTGTGGTTATGTGGCAGGCCCTGCAAATGTTTGGCTCAGCCTTGGTTTCCAGCTCTTCTGGCCTAGTATCTGAACCCAGGTGTTTTTTCGTGGCTCCACCTCTGTCAGCAAATTGGCCCAGAGATACACCTCACCTCTTCAACTTTCTCCTATGTTTCACATGTCTGGAGTTTCTTAGACTTATTGCCAGGCTGGGTTCTTGGTATCCCACCTGCATCTCTTTGTGGTAGCAGTGTGAAGTTGCATAGTGCTCATTTCACCTCTTTCTATCTGTCATTTTTCTTCAGTGTCCATTCATGTAGTACTGTCCTATCCTTGTTGTGGTTGTTTTTAAAGCGGCATGTTATGCCCAATACTGTTGCTCTTATCGTTCAGCATTAGCAGAGCCACTGCTGCTTGCGTTCTATGTTGATACAGCTTCTGTGTTATTCCGCAAGCTGTCTTTGTGCGTTCCACCTCCAGCTGGTTCATGCTCCTCCTGAACCATCTTTGTCTCTTGTCAAGGTGTTGGTCTTTCTTCTCCTCAGTTCACAATTGTTCCTACGGTCAAGGGATATTTTTCTCTAAACTGTTCTTTTTTTAGTTCTTGCCACTGGCAACAGGGTTGGAGAGCTTCACACTCTTCTTAGGAGTCAAAGGTTCTGTTCTTTTTGGCCCCTGGTAGGCTGTTTCTTCACCTGCCAAAGAATGAACAACTGGTTTGTGGAGGGATCCTTAGATGCTTGATGCTTAGTTGGTCTGGCACTTCGCCATTGCCTCGTGCCATTTTCTCAGACTGGTTGGTACAGCGACAGTCTTTATCATTCAAGGTCAAGGTTCAATCCTCAATGATACAAGTGGATGGACATCGTTTCTTCTTCTGCCCCCCCACCCCTCACCTCTCCTCATGTCCAGTGCTATATAGTCATATTGGCATAGTACTTTTTCTTCATAATCACCTTACTTTACCTTGCTTTTGTGCCACCAGTTCTGACTTGGTAAATGCCGTGTTGGTTAATCCTGTTTCCCGTATGCCCTTCTTCTAAGACTCACATTTCTCAGGTTGTTTGCAGCCTCATCAAATCTATCCAGCTATGGTCTACCCCTTGGTCCCATGATATTCTTATGGACTCTATATTAGCAGCAGTCTTCTCTAACATGTCATGAGCTGATGTTTGGGCTTGGGGGTTTTGGAGGTCTAACTGGGTCTTGGTGGCCAAGTATTTTATTAATGTTCCTGGGCCCAGCCCAGTTGGTAGTGTGTGGCACTGGGCTGGGTTCCCAGCCCATGGTCTCTTCTTCAGAATAGTACCTGCTGTCCCCCCCCCCCTCCTCCCTGGTAAGTCTTATATTTTTTCCGTTTCTCTGTGGATAGTTAGCTTTAACAAACCATCAAGGGGACTCCTCCCAGAAACCCAAGTGATGAATGTAATGAAAAGGCTTTCTGATAGATCCCCAAGTAGTTCCCTTACTCCCCACCTTCCTGGTTTGTTGGTTGTCCATTGGCATCTTAGTAACCATTGAAGTAGTCTGTGGGCCAGTTCTCTAGATCACCTTGTAGTGGCTATAGGTACTAATGGGTTTTTAAGTGAACCAATTGTTTCAGCCGAGTTGTTTGTGAAGTCGTTTTGTTGTTTCAGTGCTTTGTTTTCTATGAACTTTGCATGTGTGTGTGTAAAGCATCGCTGAATTTCTGGATGCTTTCCTGATGAGTATCAGTAAGTATTCCCCTACTCTCTGCACCTTTGTTAGGGGAAAATGCAGATTCTGGTGTTGGTCCCCAGTAGGCCAAAGAGGACTCTTACAAGTGGTGGGGAGCTATCTCAGCGCGATAGCTTCAGCGAGCCACTGGAGTTCTTATTTCATTACATTCGATGCAGTTTTTGTTTTTGTTTTTAATTATAATAGCCTGTATGTGCTATATCCATGATGATACTAATGTAATTGATTAATCTTATCACAATAAATAACTTAGTTTCTTAACAATAAGGTTAGATAAGATTGGTTGTACCCTATATTACGTTTTGTGTATTGTTCATGATATAATTAGAGGATTATCCTGGATCATATGTAATTTAGTTAACTAATGTCGACTCTATATATTAAAAATTGGAAAAGAATTTAACCTTCACTGACAAAGGATGAGGTTTAGAGATTTATATTTGTTAAATATAAGGTACTGAAATTCTCTAAAAAATTTAACTTGTAATGAGATTTTAATAGTTATGAGGTACAATTTAATTTGTGGATATTTTTATGGATATATATATATATATAATATATATATATATATATATATATATATATATATATATATATATATATATATATATATATATATATATATATAATTTTTTTTACATAATGCTGATTTATTGTAAGTGTGTATTTATTATCCCATATTGCTAAACAGAAGCATAAATATATTTGTCTTAATATTTGTTTTCATTGTCCTTGTATAACTTATAAAGTCCTTAAAAATGCTGGGGGTTCAGTCATGTACAGTATTTTGTTTGTGGGTAGCTTTAAAATCTTGGACTGCTTTCCCCCAGAGAGATGCATTCTCACAGAAGAATTTTATGCAATTCTGCATGTTTTTTTTTTTTTTTTTTTTTTAGTTTTGTGATGATGTCCAGCTCTTGCTGTCCTCAGCTATAGCAAATATAAGACAGTTGAGATAAGATTAGATTAGGTTAGGCTTGGTCTCCAGCAATATTGGTGTTACCTCTAATGACCTAGCGGATGCAGCTGCTAAAGAAGCTGTTCGTGCCTCTTCCCACCTCCCCAAAACATTCCTTACTCTGATTTCTACCCAGTCATTCATAATGAAATCTAAAACTATTGGGGAGAGAGAGAGAGAATGAATGAATGAGAATACTTAACACTAAGTATCGTGAATATTATATTACGTAGTGATGTATTAAATATGACCCACTGTATTTGCATGTCCTTCCTCTTGCCACCATAACAGGAAGTGGGAAATGTCTCTGGCTAGATTAAATATGTGACCACACTTGATTAACTTCTGGGCACTTAATGGAACATAGACCTACTCCTTGCTGCCAGAATTGCATTGTCTTTCTTCCAGTCACACACTTCGTAACATGGCCTGATGTTCACGATGATTGTAACTTGCTTTCCAATGTTCCTCTTTAGTTATTTGTCCTACTTGGGCAGGATGGTGGAACAACGGTCTCGCTTTGTGCAGGTCTGCATTCAATCCCTGACCGTCCAAGTGATTGAGCACCATCCTTCCCACCATCCCATTCCTGATCCTTATCCTCATCCCTTCCAAGTGCTGTGTAGTTGCAATGGCTTAGTGCTTTTTCTTGACAATTACCATACCCCTCAATGAATGATACATTTGACATCATTCATCTTGTGTTGTTTTGCTCTAATTTTGGTGTCTTGAATGATATCTAGGTGTGTGTATTGTTCGTGCCATAGACTGGTCCCAATAACCTTCCAGTCTAAGCACATTCTTTTGGTAAATACTTTCACTCCATAGATTCCAATTTGAAAAGTACTGTAAAAAAAAATTAAAAGTTCTATTATACTATATTGATAAAATACATAATTTACAATACAGAAGGTATACATTTTTATACTTTTGGATAAACTTCCATCCAAAAGTTGCAACAAAATACATTGATATGGTATCTATTACAGGTATGCCAAAAAATTTTAAGACTAACTTAAGCATGTTTTGTGTGCCATTCTTTATTGTATATTGTACTGTACTTGTGTAAGAAAGAGAACAATTTAAAAAATACAGAAAATTCGTACCGCTTTGACTCAAAAGTAAGACTTCTTATTAACACAAGTCTTTGTCCACAGGAACCAAGGTGGAAATAAGTGGGCGGAACCTGACAAAAGAATGAAGAAAAATTGTAATGTGGAATTTGAATTAACTCTTTCAAGACTTGCATCAAGCAAAGAAATTAATAGAAACGAACTATTGCCTGTGATGGCATTTTGATGAAATACCATTTATATAGAAATGTGCTTCAATATAAAATGTAATTTGTTGCTAAAATGTATAAAAAGTTATATTAATTAGAGCACAATATATATCTGCGTGTGAGATTTTTGCAAGTGTATAATGATGATAATATCTAAGTAGAAAAACTCAGGCAGCCAAAACTTGCTGATTACATGCATGTCTTATGCTAAAGGAAAAAAAAAAGTTCACTGACACTCGTAAAATGAATAATACAGCAGTAACTTGTGTAAAAAAAGTATGGTTCAATAAGTTTTATTTGTATAATGAAAATTTATAGATTCTATCAAAATTGTATAAGATATATCATGATACGAACCAGTTTGATGAAAGAAGCAAAAAATTTGGATGTATGTCATTAAATTCTTAAAGTGGGGAAGATTCCTAATTAAATTAATGAACAAAATAATTATTAGTGTGGAATTAGTGGGAAGAACTTTGCATTTGAATATAAGTAAACTTAAAAGCTAAAATGGAAGAATTACCTCAAGACTCTTGTGCTGTTCCACCAGGACAGGAAGACCTGGAGAATTCAATATGTGAAAATGTGTTTGAACAGCAGTGTGATCCTAGTACTCTTTTATTAAATGATCCTACAGATAAGTCATTTCAATGCACTTTGTGTGAAAAGGTGTTTTCACAGAAAGGCTCCCTGAAGAGACACTTTCAAACTCATACAGGTGAAAAACCATTTGGTTGTCCTATATGTGGTAAGTTGTTTTCGAGAGAGAGCAACTGTAAAGAACATATGCTTATTCATACTGGAGAAAAACCATTTCAATGTTCTTTATGTGATAAAGGATTTACTCAGAAAGGTACACTTGCAAAGCACTTCTATTCTCACACTGGGGGCAAGCCATTTGAATGTTCTGAATGTGGGAAAGCATTTGCACGTATTGGTGAACGAAATATGCACATGGTGGTTCACACAGGAGAGAGGGCATATGAATGTGCCTTATGTGGAACAGCATTTGGACAAAAAGGTTCGCTTAAAAGACACATGCAGACTCACTCGGGAGAGAAGCCTTTTGAATGCTCTTTGTGTGGAAAGTCATTTGCTCGCAATAGTAATTTGAAGGTGCACATGAAAAATCATGCAGGAGAAAAATCTTTTGCATGTTCTATATGTGGGAAAAGTTTTGCACAGAAAAGCACCTTGAGCAAGCATGTCTTCACACACTGTACAGAGAAATCGCTAGAATGTCCAATATGTGGCAAGGCATTTGTGCATAAAGGTCAGATAAAATCTCACATGCTTAGTCACACTAAAGAAAAAGAATACGAGTGTCGATTGTGTGGGAAAAGTTTCACACACAAAGGTTCGCTTGAAAAGCACATTTTCATTCATACTGGGCAGAAGCCATTCAAGTGTACCGAGTGTGGAAAAGTGTTTACTCAGAAAGGCCACTTGACTACACATATGTTAATTCACACTGGAGAAAAACAATTTGAATGTAAAGATTGTGGAAAACCATTTGCTCGAAACAGTGATCTAAAGGCACACAAGGTTGTACATAGTGGGGAAAAACCATTTGAGTGCCCATTATGTGGGAAATGTTATACACACAAAAGCAATGTTAGTAAACATATACGAACTCATACTGGTGAAAAACCCTTTGAATGTTCTGTGTGCGAAAAAAAGTTTGTCCAGAAAAACTCACTCAAGAAACATATGCAATCCCATGCTGAAGAAAAGTGATGTTCATTTACAATCATTAATTTCATTAACTTAAACATTTCAGTCTAATGAAACTTAACAAAATGGTATGAAAAACTCCATGTTAAACACCTTAAACTTAAAGGTGGTGCCAAATATTATAAGTATGCATCTACAACCGAAAATTTTATTTATTTAAGTAATTGACTGGTATTTACACTGTATTCTTCTAACTGGAAATTTATTAACAAATCTGTTACAAGTGTAAGAATAATTGCAAAAAAGTTTGTAATATAAACCAGGAATATGATCATTTGCATCAAGTAAATAAATAATTTTGATTTAAAGCTACCCAAATTATAAGGGGAGCAGGACGACACTGCAGTGTTGCACCTGCTTTTACACTTTGCAGTGGTCTTGTCAATACGGTATGGTCAACACCTTATTTTTATCTGTATTGAATACTGGTTAAAAAAAAAAACTTTCTCGATTGCAGTTTTATTCCATTATTATTAGGTCATTTTGTCAAAGGCCAAAGTGAGCTCTTATGATCTCCATGTATCTAGATTGTCGGATACTATATGCCATCTAGTTTGGGATTTCTAGTATTTATTAGAATTTACCATTTTTAGTCACATTGTTCACTTTTCTGTGAAAAGTTTTAGTATGTTTAATATATGGGTTGCCTCTAGCAATTGTTAGTATTCAAAGCAGCATGGTGCACAAATGTATCTTGCCCAGAATAACTACTATTGTAGTTTGTATTTTTTACACATGACTTTCAGGATGAAGTAATTAGTTTATATTTGTCTTGGAAATGGTCTTTATGTATAAAGGTAGCAGTCAGTCTCCCATTGCATATATATATATATATATATATATATATATATATATATATATATATATATATATATATATATATATATATATATAATATAGAGAGAGAGAGAGATAGATAGATAGTATAACCCTTTTGCTATAATAAGTGGGATCAATCCTTCACAATTTTTTTATTGAAATAGTTAAAAAAAAAATAATTTTTTTTAATTGAAACGAAAAAATTAATTTAAAAAATTGTTTAAACAAACAATAAAAAATTGTTTAAACATCATGTAATATTTGTTCAAAGTAGAAGTTTGAGCCATGTAGCTGTAATCGTTTGGCAGCGATAGAGAAAGACATTACCACATGCACTAGACAGTATCTAGATGTCTGGAATAATTAGTTCTTCAAAAACTCACCATTATGAGTGCTTTAATGATTAATGACAAATTTGGAAAAGTATTGTTTCTGGAAAGGTTCCATCAATAGCTTTCTGTAGCCAAGTGCTGAGTCTAGTAAAATCTTGGGGAGGCCAAGGCCTTGAAGACCCAACTATGTCTATCAGTAACTAATATCAGAACCTGGCTCTCACTCTGAGGGGATGAGAGATCAACCTAAAACTCTGAGGAAAAACAGCTGAAAGGCATGAGCACAATAAAATAAGCAAATTAGGTACCCTGGGGGGTAATGAGACAAATGAGCATTGCTTCTTTGTAAACACCCTGAACATGTTCCTCCCTCACCCCCATCCCTCACCCCCATCCTCACTTGCCTGGTTGCAATATGGAGGATACGGTTCCTCTTGTCACTTAAGCCAAGTAGTGTTGACTATCCCTGGAATGCTAGTTACATTGAAAGCCATTGCTTTGTTATTATGTGAGTGACCTAGCTATTTCGCTCTGATTGTGAGCCAAGATTTCCCTCCTTGTTAGTCAGCTTGTGTTTTCCCCCTGCCGTGCAAGAATACCTGCTCTGGTGGGTTTGGATTTTTCCTCTACAAGATCATTGATGTTCCTTTATCATCTCACTTCTCTGTAATGCATGATGGGGACCTGTTCTTCAGTGTGTGCTTATGTTGTCATTGCACCTGGGCCTTCTTGTGTGTATTAGGGCTTTGTGCTTTCACCAAGGATGCACTTATTTGGTCTTGTTCATGGCTACGCATACCATTTCACTAACAAGTGTTTGGAATGTTCTGCCAAGAAGCTTTCCTCGCACCTGGCAGGCCTGCTTGTTTGGGTTTACAGTTTCCCACATCCATGTTATAATTTTTTGTCTGATTTATATTATCAGTTGGGTTGATTTGGCTTCCATACATTTCCTCAATTGCATTTTACAGAGACTTAACATTCCTCGTATTGATATACGGCCACCCTCTTCCTGCCCTGTTGGGCTCTTGCAGGTTCACTTTTGAGCTTTTTGCTCTAGCCATAGTTCAAAAAAATTTCCGGATTTCCCCCTTCCCCCCTTTTCTTTTTTTTCTGTTTGTCTCCTGCCAGTTGGTGTTCCATGGGACCATGGATTGTAGGTTAGTAAACCTTTGAGCTAGTAATATTTAACCGAGGGTGTGTAAATTGGTGCCGATGACAAATTTAGAGGTTGGCTCTGGATAGTTAAGAGGCATGTTTTGACAGGGGGAAAGAATATTTAGCATGTAGATCTAAGCAAATTATGGTACTTAAACAATATTTATATAAAATATTTACTGCATCAAAAATACTATACATCTTAAAAGTAAAAAATTTCAAGACAATAAGAATAATGATATATACAAATTTAAGCTTCATTTATAGCATAAAGTAAGCCTTTCCAGAGAAACTGAAAGTTGCTTTTTTATATGCAGTTTTTCTTCATACTTCTATTTTCTTTACTGTACGTATACTGTATTTGTTTAAAATATATGAAAGGTTTTCTTTGTAGACATGCTTTACCATGCTGAATAGGGAATACAAATATGTTTTCTCTTCCCTGTGGCATTCATAGGATATTTATTACTCATCCACATTAATGTTATTAATTTCACGACAAAATAAACACCTTTACCCTTCACAGGGGTAAAGTTTCATTAGTTGTACATTTTTAATGTTTACTCGAGTCTTAGATGATATATTTATTAATAGTCTATCGTAATATGACTATACTGTACTGGTAATAGTATGACAATGACATTATTTTACTATACAGTATATATTTATAGGAGAAAATATTGTATTCCTATAGTAAAAATAATTGAAATACAGTAATGTGTTTGATAACTGTCCGGAAGCATGCCTCTAATACGAATTTGTACTCGATAACAAATGTAAACAACTAAGGCTTATAACAGATATCTTTAGAATTAAATGAAAGTTACACCAAACAAATTCAACATATAAAACGTGTGGAGCTAAATCCAAGCAAATCGTACATTAAGGATTTCTGCCACCTCTTGGTTGTAGGACAAATACTTTTGGAAGCGGGAGCCTATCCACCATATCCAAAACATGGTCACCCCAACTTATTGTTATAAAAGTAAAGATTTTGGTTGTATTTTTCACCCAAGATACACCAAATTCACCTTTTTTATGTTGTAGGAAAATGTTAAGTATGAAGTTACATGGGCTATTTTCCTATTTTAATATGAAGACTCAAGTTATTTTTTTAACTGTCTAAAATATTTTTTAAGGAATTTAAATGGTTGATTTGAAAAAAAGATACTGCTATTTTTATTGTTAAAAGTGCAGTACAAAAAATGAGTGCAAATATAACAAATGGATGTGCAGTCAAATGTTAACTTGCAGCCAAAGGGTTAATAATCTCGGTGGGTACATATCTTATATTTAAGCTATAGTGTAGTTATAAATGGCTAGAACCCTACAAAAACCATGCATCGTGTTTCTTACATTCCATGATGTCATATTACAGTAAAGTGTAAGTGAAAAAAATAAGATAATTTATATTGCAATAACAATAAATGGGTACTTTCTCTATAAATGAGTAATTTATATCATTGAATACAAAAAATCCATATTTAATTAATCAGATTTCCAGAATATCTTGAGCTCATTGGGCACACAGTGGATTAGTTACTGTATTGTAAATAAATATAACATTAGTTTAGGGGTACAGTAATCATACTGATTTTAATGTACCTTACCTTGTGGTTATCTTATGATGATTTCGAGGCTTAACACTTCTTCCTGTTTTGTAATTTTTAGGTGTCAAACTGGCATACAGTTCTGCAAGGATTGGCAAACCCTTCTTTTCCTTCTTTTGCGGTGTTAGCCAATATCCACACTCGATGTTCCCCCTCACACTGAAACACTTATAGATGTAATTGGCTACATCAGCTCTATAAATCTGCTTACATATTAAACGTTCCTCAGGTACCAACAAGAGGAAACCCAATTTCTTTACCCCTCCATGCCCTTCCCACCTGTGTTTGATCCATCTGATGCAAATGAAGTGATTTTAGTTTAAGCTCTCCTACTCCCTCCAATACTTTTCCTTAGTTCCATCTTCAATGCCTCGTGTTGTTTTCCCACCTAGAATTCGATCCCTCCCTTTCTCCCGTCCCAAATATCCTTATCCTGACCCCTTCCAAGTGCTAAATAGTCATAATAGCTTGGCACTTTTCCCTAATAATTCTCTCTTCCCCCCCTCCACCACCACCACTTGCATTGTGGCCTCCACCAGCTCAACTTCCCTCTCAATTAAATTTTCCCATACCTCGAGACTCTCATTATAGTGATTATGATTTAGGATAATCCCCCATTTGTCTTGCCTATTTTCTGCTTGATTCCAATGAACACAGCAACGTGACTGAAACAACCCACACGTGATATGAAAGTGACGTTTCAGTCCGTCCTGGTCTATCATAGTGGTTGTGTCAGTGTTGAAGATACCAGTTATCAGAAAATGTAGGAGGTCTGTAATTATTATGATTATTTATTTATTTTTTTGCAAGTTGTAGTATTAATAGGACTGAAATATTCTCTTTGAAGAATAAGAATAAAAATGTTCAATATGCAAGAAGATGAAGAGATAGCCAGCAGGAAGTGAAGTGGATGATTAATGTCAGTGTGTGTGCCTGGGTGTCTGCCAGCATGTCCCATGGTGTCCCTCTGCCAGCATGTCCCATGGTGTCCCTCTCCCAGCATGTCCCATGGTGTCCCCCTGCCAGCATGCTCCATGGTATGCCCCCTGCCAGCGTGTCCCATGGTGTCCCTCTCCCAGCATGTCCCATGGTGTACCCCTTCCAGCATGTCCCATGGCGTGCCCCTGCCAGCGTGTCCCAGTGCGTGCCCCTGCCAGCGTGTCCCAGTGCGTACCCCTGCCAGCATGTCCCATGGTGTGCCCCTGCCAGCGTGTCCCATGACGTACCCCTACCAGCATGTCCCAGTGCGTGCCCCTGCCAGCGTGTCCCGTGGTGACCTCTGTATATACTCATTTTTGTTATTAACCCAAAAACTGTTCTATCACATGATGGGAAATGATAAACCAACCATAAGAAATAAAATTAATACAGGCTGTGCTCAAGGTAAATTGTATAAAATCGATAAAAATATTTTATTTCCAATTACATAATAAGTATAGTACTTCATATTACACAAAACTACTGTAGTTCCTCAAAATACCATTTGACTTCATTTCCAGAAAAAAACTGGCGAGATCACCAGAGGACACTATACCACACAGCTGTGAGGATTGCAGGTGTAGCAGTTCCTCTAGGCTAGTAGCTCTAATGGTTCAGAAGATCACCGATAGAATAATATTTGTTTGTGTATGGGCACAAGTCAGTATAGCACATTCCATGGATTAAATTGAGCTAGAGAAATTATATTAAATGTAAAGTAAGGTTATGATTTGTCCATTTGTAAAATTAAGTTTTGCAACAACCTGTAAGTGTTTTGGATATCCCAAGAAAGGGCCTCTGTAGGATATTGGACTCTTGGGGCTGTACACTGGTTGTCAGACGTGGGTTCGTAAATCTTTTTGTGACCCAGGCTCGTCGTCCAGCACTTTCTAATAGTGGAGGCTTCCACTGCCTTATATACAATAAGATACAATTGGTTGTGAAATTACATACATTGTGTGGTACATTTTTGTGAAACCACTAACATGAATAGCGTCTGTAACAAATCCCGAAGGTTTCTATACATCACTTAGAACAGCTGAAAGTAACCAGCAAGCTTACCATCAGACCAAATGATGACCATCCTGCCAAGTAAAAAGCAAACTGGGTCCAATACAAGGTCAGGTGAATTCATGCATAAGACGGCCGGAGACGGCCCTCTCGGCACGGGAGACATCTCCCGTCACGCAGGGTGCACTCGCACCTCCACAGATCTCCAGTATCAGCTCTTGATACTGGTAATGACTCAAAAGGGCCACCACTTACGGGCTATTCGTGCCCGTGCCACCTTTTGGGTGGCTTAATCTTCATCAAACGGCCCTCTCGGGTGGCTTCATCAATCAATCAGCGTCGCCCGCGGGCTAAAGACAGGCCCAGACACTTCAAGATCCTGCGGGCTAGTTATGTCACCTCTTGTGGGTGGCTTAATCTTCATCAATCAGTCAACTTCAAGATGTTACACGACTAAAGACCACATTCATTCCAAATATCTACCACCTACGGGCTACTCATGCCCGTTCCACCACTTGTGGTGGCTTAGTCATCAATCAATCAATCAGTAGCATCGCCAGTCTAGTTCAACTTCCACACCAGATGCTACAAGCCTTACTACGGAGCATACAATCTCTCGGCTTCATTCGATCTCCATCTCCGACCTCGCTCAAGTTCTGCTCTCGGCTTCATTCCAGCTATCCTTTCCAGGCCTCACACAATGGTCTTAGCCTCCGGTCACCTTCAGCATTACGTCCTATATGACTCAGCCAACACGTCATACCATTTCAAATATCCAACTGTTGTAACCGTACTATATTAAATATACATAAGAACTATCATACTCTGAATATACTCGCCCAAAATCATGTGTGTTACAACCATTAAAGACATGGAAATGTCCTCAAGCCGAAGAGATCAAGGCTCGGTCTTTGAAGAAAATTGGAACATTCATCTCATTATATTGCTGATGTCGAGCGAAACAATATATGGATTTTTTTAATAATTGAAAGTAGTAAACAATCAGTAAAGTAACACAAAATGAATAAGCAAGACAAGATTGTACATGAATAAAGTGAACATTAACTTGTAGCGTAAATGTTATAAATGGGTGAAGCACAAAAAACTAAAATTACGCAGTAGGAAGAGACGTAAAATGTGGGGCTCCATACGGGGTGGGGTGCGGCGTGCCCCACTTTTTTTTTTTTTTTTTTTTGTAATCTTCCCAAGCTAATTGTGCTTGTCTCTACAGGTCAATATATACGTCTTTCCAATTAAATTCATATATATTTAACTAATATCTGGAGAGGAAGTTGAAGAACGAAATGAACTGTGGCTGACGTCAGACCCGGTACTGTTGTGTTCATTGGTGTAGTGGTGGTGCGGGTCCGCTTTAATGTTACTCTCGTCTATCTCCTCGTACAAGTGTTCGGGGCTGGGTGTGTTAATGCGATCCTTGGCCTTTGTCTCTCTCTCAAGTGTGGCTGTCTTGGTGGGCTCAATGGGCTCCACATAAGAAGGCATCGAGGTCAAGGTCATTATTGGTCTTGGCGGGATGTGGCGGTTGATGGTCTTTTCGCGCCCATACTGGAAAAGGAGGAATTGAGATTTAGTTATGTTTACTGTTTATAAAATAGCTAATGTAGGAGACTAGTTTTATTTTCTGGATTTTCACTTCTTAACATACTATAGTGTGTGTGTGTGTGTGTTGGAAAAGTGTAATAGAAAAACCCATACCTTGTATATGACGAAGAACGTCATGAGGGCGAGGAGGAGGATGGTAACCCCGGCTGTTATCGACGTGCCCACCGCCACGCTCCTCGAGACACACCAGAGCTCCTTCTCTTCACCTGTCCAACCAAATAGGTAATGTAGTTTTTAAGATTCAGCAACTCTGAACAAAACGTTCCAAGTAGCACAGGCTATGGTGAGCCCTTAGTAGACTTACCTGGCACAGGAGCGAGGCTGTAACTTGATAGGTATTGTTCTATAGTTATCTTTGTATTACAGTATCCCCGTGGCACAGTGGTAATACATTCGCTTCACGAGCGTTTGGCCTGGGTTTGTATCCTGACCGGGAAGGATTGACTAGGCGCCAGTCTTTAACTGTACGCCTCTGTTCACCCAGCAATGAATGGATACCTGGTTGTTAAACGATTTGGCGGATCGTATTCTAGGGAAAATTAGGATTAACAACCTATCCGAAACGCTATGCATGCTAGTGGCTTTTAGTATAAGTATGTTAATAAATAATTTGTACCCCGCTGAATATCACTAGTCAGCACAATCCTTTTTTAACTTTTAAGTCTAAATTATTATTAAACAAAATTACCAGTTCCCGTTCAACAGTTGAATCCCATTTGCCTGCAGGATACGTACGTAGCTCGACATTATAGATAATAACATTTCGGACAGTCATGCCCAGGGTAAGAACAAAATTCCTCTTATAGGTGATTTCTTATGTAATTGGAACATTCACAAAAATTATATGAAGGTGATAATGTTATGGTATAAAGGAAAAAAGTTTTATTTTTTAATTTATAATTAACTTTTGCTTGACAAGCGCAGGAATACCATATGCCCTTGAATGTTTTTGAATTATTAATACGTATTATGATTGTACATTTGACAATTTCTTCCTGCTGTATTTTTCTTTTTTCTTTTCATACTCTGTCATTAATGTTATCTCATTGCTAAGCCACTCTTTTCCCTCGTCTTTCCCCTTGTTTGTCCAATTTCAATAGTACCAAATTATATTTTCTAATTGTCCATTAAGGCAATATATAGTAACGATGGTCCACATCGTTACTGTAAGTACTATCGAAGCAGGAGGATGCGCTGGAATATTAACAGCGAAATTGTAAGTGAATTACAGCTTAGGTTTAAAGACAGATTAAAATTGACAAAAGCGCTTGCCGGTAAGCATATTCTCCTAATTTATATCAATAAGATGTATGTTTATACGTCTGTCCGAGGTTGGATACCAGACGGTAGTTAGTATTGTATCCTAGCCCAATAGTTAGAAAATTGGGCTAGTCTCGCCAAAATTTTCACACGTGAAGTATGTGGGGGAGGGGAGTGTCACAGGCCAGTCGGGGTCGGCCCAAATGAAGTGCTTTAAAAAATATTGGCATTTATAGACACAATGTGACCTTCATGGAGTCAAATCTAAAATGTGCTTCCTCGATGCCTTCTTTGATAATTACTGAAATATGCCTATGTTTTCCATAGAGTTGTTTAGCATTTTTAATGCTTTGTTGCTTAGTAATTATTTAATTGTTCTTGAGGATATCCTATTAATGCACCCAAAATTTGCTAGTGCAGGCTACTGATCACATGGCCTTGTATGGCTAACCAACCTGTGAGATGGGGACATTGCAGTATCGCTGTTACCTTATTCACTTTTGTGTTCTTGATGATATCCCCATATTACATCCAGAGTTTGCCATTGCAAACTACTGATGCATTACTGTATCTCATTACTGATGCTTCTGTTTGATAGGAATATTTAGCATCACGTAGCTAGTTTTTGATACTGTATTCCCCTTCATATAGTCTAGGGTAGCTGCACAAATGCAGATGTACCCAAATTGTTTAATAGAAAAACAAATTAATAATCTGAGAAGGGCGAGGGGAATGGGTGGGAAAAGTTCCAGGTGCGGCCGGGTATTCCTTCTCGTGTCAAATATACTTGTGTTCTACACTATGTACATTAGGTTCCTAGTTGACTGCCATACCTGACTCCTCAGAACTCTCCCCAGTACTAGGTTGAATGCTAAATAATTCTATTTAATTCTAAATTCTAAATGAACACATGAGAATAAATCTTGGGAGCTCCACAGATACACACGAATTTTCAACATGAGGGAGAAGCTGAAACAACCATACACGTGTGAAAGAAATGTGTAGCTGAACACGACTTTCTGTGGAAAAGTCATGAGAGATCAAACGTCACCTGTACTACTTAAGAGACAAATTAATTGTCTAATAATTAATTACTTTGTAAAATCTCTTTATGTATGTACCTTACCTAAATAAAATTATTATTATTATATATTATAATTAGCGCTGTTTGCAGTCAAGAAAGTGTTGCCAACGCAGCGGGCAACCTGTATGCGAACTGGTTGAGTAGAAGTGCTACCAACTTCATGAAATTTAATACTGTATTCCTATTACCAGCTAATGATATTCCACTATTTATGTACCCTGAATTACAAGTGTCATACACGCCTATCAGCAAAAAGAATAACAAGAATCCAGTACTTCTCAAAGCAGCATCACCTGACACTATCGATTCCTTTATAAATAACTGGAGGTACCCAGTTGTGCTCGGGTCTCTACCCATATCCCCTTTTCCTTCCATCATCTCCCTTCTTCCTCTCCCCTCTTCCATCGCTCTTTCCCAGATACTAGGAATATTGTAACATCCATTAGAAATAACATAATACACAGATCATGAGTTTCAGAAACGCATTTGTATGAATACCATCTCACATAGGTGTTGTCAAGCGTAATGTCCATACGGACATGGCAGCTAAAGTTAAAATTGAGTTGAACCTAGGCATTCCACTCTCGTAAAAGCCTCACTATTTCGGGAAACTGACAAAAAGCAATCACTGACACTCAAAGGGCAGAACACACTAGTATAAAAAAGATATATGTTCAGAACCGAGAACTGTATGTATGGACAGCACACACTATTCACCTACCTGCCCTTCTTCCCCATTTCCTATTGATCACCCATCTACATTCTGTCCTGTCAATTATTTAACTATCCCGTGTAACATGGGATAGATTATGCCATGGGATTAACCACATGGTGTCGCCCACAACTTCCTACCGGTCACTAATTTACCTTCAGTTCTAACCCATGCTAATTTCCCATAAACTCTTTCCTCTTTCCGTGAATGACGGTCACCCATTCGACAACTATGCCCACTACACGCAACCTGTGGAGAACATGAAATATAGTGATTAAAAACACATTAGATGCTCCTCATCATTTACGAAAGTCTCGCACTCCAGTGTTCTGTAATGTGTAAATTGAAAATAAAACTGACTTACGCTTCACCTTCCAAGAATGACTTACGTGTGGGTATGTGAAGATGCTCCACCAGCAGGAAGCTGTCAGAATTACGACCCCTCACCCTCACCTTGCTGGGATAGCATGCTACCTTGGTCGTCAACAGCTCGTCGCCTTCACTCTCAACCTGCAACACAAATATGGTCTCTACTACATCTTTATGCAACTATAATTATAATTTTAGTATCGCACAAAGGTTAGCTCTAATTAAACCAAATTATATTCATGTTTAATTTTGTTTGCTGCTACACATTACCAGTCGAATGATGCTTCACCAAGTATAACAACATATGTATCATATTCAACGACAAAAGTATTTACTGTTGACCGAGCTGTTTAATAATATTGGCTACTACTAAGTCACGTGTGCACAAAATATTCACAAGATATATAATTCTTTCCTTCAGTAACTTAGCAATGTTCCTGTATGTACGTTCCTTAGCAGTTACTGTATAGTGAAACCTCAAATTCTCTTATGTGTTTTCATATAATAGCTATGTATAGCTTACAGTATTCAGTGATATAAACACACGTGAAGATCGTTTACCTTGAGCAGTGTGTGGGAGTCTTGGGAGAGAATGGTGAGGGCGAGGTACCGGCGCCCAGGAGGCAATGCATCAGCAGCCTCGTCCGACGCCATCACCATAGACCCTTCGCGCAGACCAAGCTGGAACTCCGCCCCGCACACGTTGAAGAATGGCTTGTGGTTCTTCATGGAAAACAAAGTCAAATTTATACGCTTCTCCAAATCAGCTGCATCAGTGTTCATAAGTACATCCACAACTTGACTGCCTTCAATTCTCCACACGGGAGTGTTTGGTGAACACTGTCGAGTGAAGTTACCATTTTTTATGGAAAGTTTTGATACAGTACAATCAATCGGGCTGGGGTCATGCAGCCAATTCAGATTGTTGTCATCATGTAGAGTAAGGTTATTCATAAAGCCTAAGCGGAACCTTGTCCAGCCGATCACTTCCACAGGGGTGGGCGTAATGAAGTCTTCCTGGTTATTAGATCGATACCTAAGTAGTGAAACGTTGCTGGGAGTCAGGTTCAGGTAATCATACTTGTTAGTGTCTTCACAGAAGATGTATGCTGTCACAGTATGTTCCTCAGGACGAGCCAGGCTGAGGAACTCGAATGTGTCGAACGTTATGTTGGTCTCTATGTTATTCAGCACCAAACAATCTGAAGAACCGATAGACACCATTTTTAAGTAAAAAATATTAGCACCACCAGGAAATAAAAACCTTCCCTATCAAGAGAGATTAAGTTGTAGAAAAGCATAGTATGATTGACGTATGAAAATGGATAATGTGTTAAAAATATCAACACGAAATAATATACAAATTACAAATGTTTAAATTCAGTAAACACATGAATAAACATTAGTTTGGGAATTGGGGTAGCTTATTTATGGAATAAATTAACGGGTAACAAAATAGACGTGGGATCACTAGATTGTTTCAAGCGAAGATTATGTATATATAATAAATAATATGCATGAGTTCGGTGGGGTATCAAATGAACCTATCTTATATAATAATAATAATAATCCTGCGGTTTCTTTCATTCTTAAAGGAAAAGGGAAAAAAGGAATTCTTAAAAATTATATCGGTTACCCAAAATGCCAAAATATATGATAATCAGACCCTACAAATCATGATTTAATCTTGCATTATAATTTTGGGAAATTGGGTTGTACAGCACGCTAATCTAGTGCCGACCTGAAGTCTGAAAATAGCAGGCGAATTTGGAGTCTGGAATTCTCAGATGCCGCTGATTAATCTTGTTGGTAAAAACATAGAAGGTGGGTACATTAAGCTGCAGAGAGAAGGTTCGCTTAACTGGTTGGGTTTATCAGTGTTTTATTTTCTAGCAGAGCAACAAAACTGGAATAGCTAACTGACGAAGCCATTGATGTAAGAACACGTTCAAAATTCAACTAGAAAACTGGTCAAGAAATATCCCGTCAATATATGAAAAAGAGAAGGGGTGAGGAGATTGCATATCTTTGGATTTCCACTATAACCTACAATTCTCTGGGTATGGGGTTAACGTCGATAGCATCGATTCAATGTTGATAACGTTGATTCAGCGTCGATAACATTGATTCAACGTCGATAATTTTGCCTACTAGGAAAGAACGGGAATTGGGGAGAGAGAGAATGGGAGGGAGGGAAATAAAGACCCGGGCACTGCTGGTACCCTATCTAGTGTGTGTGTGTATATATATATATATAAAAATATATATTATATATATATTATATGTAATAATATACTGTTTTCTGTTAACTTCAGGCGTTGTGTATATATTTGATATTGAAATATCATGAATTCTGAAATAAATATTAGCGAAAATTTACTATATATATATATTATCAAAAATATTGTCGAATGGCCACAGCCATGACTAGGGGGGGAACCTTTTTTTTGGTTGCCCACCTCTGCTCCAGAGTAAGTATACAAGTGCCAAATACATTTCTCGATCCTCTTGAACAAGTGTTAAATTGGTTCACTAAATTTGTAACTGACTTTCAAAGCATGTTACGTCGTCCTGGCATCTTGCGCCACACATATCACCCTTATTTTTACAATGTTTATGTTCACTTAGGCTATATCTTGAGGTTATCTTGAGATGATTTCGGGGCTTTAGTGTCCCCTCGACCAGGCCTCCACCCCCAGGAAGCAGCCCGTGACAGCTGACTAACACCCAGGTACCTATTTTACTGCTAGGTAACAGGGGCATAGGGTGAAAGAAACTCTGCCCAATGTTTCTCGCCGGCACCTGGGATTGAACCCAGGACCACAGGATCACTAAGTCCAGTGTGCTGTCCGCTCGGCCGACCGGCTCCCTATATAGGCTACACATTTTGTAAAACAAACTGTTAGAAATATTTGTATATAAACTTCACAAGAGGTTAGATTAAATGTTTACCATGCTGAATCTCGAACGTTGCTACAAGGATCGTGGACGACAGCAGTGTCTGGAGGAAGAGCAGGGGTGTGGTAGACGTCCTCATCATCTCACCGTACTACCAATGATCCTCGTAACTGTGCTATCAAGGACCCGCGTCACTATTTACTAGGAAGATCCTCCGGCACTGTAGTAGTAGGACCAGCCTCTCATTTTACCAAGAACCTTCGTCACTTTGTACGTGGAAACTCCTACGTCACTTACTAGTCAAGATGACCTGCATTACTATTTACTAGGTAGATCATGCGTTACTGTAATAGCCAGGACTCACGTCTGAGCATTAATAAGAACCTAAGAGAATGTGAATCTGAAAGGAGCTGCGTCAACACATGCTCCTGGCCACCTGGGGCCGCTTCACATGTAACATTCTCACAACCAGAGGTAGGAAGAAATACATTCCATATCTGACAATCTGAGCGTTATTTGGAGCTCATCCGGAAGTTGCAAGATAACGCGCCAGTGTGGATAACAGCCCTCACGTCCCTCTGTAGCATTAATGACTAAAAACAATAACTACTGAAGTATGCAAACTTTTATTAATTATTTTAAGATTTAGGTAACTTTTACAGAAAATTTTAACTCTAGTATTTCAAGTAAGTAGATGAAATTTGTTTCAGGAACTACTGTGGACAATACCTGCGGCGTTAAGTAAGCCGGGTTTAGCACCGCTTGTCTTTACATTAATTAAAAGAGTGACCACAGGACAATAGCCTCGTTAGTTAAACTGATTTATTATAACCATCCTGTGGGCGGTGACAGAATAGTCACAGCCACATAATGGGTTTAGGACTGGACCCGCAATATGTTTCTTTTAAGCTGAACCATTTACATTTGTGGTGAACTAGTTACGGTTCTCAATTGCCTCAAAATTGTGGTCATGTTATTAATCTAATTACAGTACTTTACAGTTTCTCGCCTGCAAACAGCACCAGTCAGTCTGTCTCTTACGTAGTACTAGTGATGCTGGACCTCTCATTATCTTTGCACAGAAGCTCGTGTGTAAAGGTCACATATGGTGGCCCACCTAGTTGGGTGGGTGTGGAGCAAGACTAGTAACTTCGTGACTCACTATAGATGTACAGTGCCTTGTATAGTGATTGTTAAGACCCTCTTGTTGAATCAATTGTGATATTAAAAGTTTATTGATATCTGTATGTATGTGCGTAAATTATTGTATATATATGTACATGTGTATTTAACATTAACAATTGTGTAATTTGCTTCAAAAGATTGTCACTTGCTTACCTAAACGAACTATGGGGATCAGTTCCTGAACCCATTATGTGCCTCTGGAACCCCTTCCACCACCGCCCAAGGGATGGGTATGGGTGTTTTATAAAGAAAGAAATTGAAATTGGGAGTTTCGACTCCTGAAACTCCTAATTTCGTGCTGAGGAGATTGATAAGATGCAGGACATCAAGTCTACAAGGGGACCCAATGAATATTATATGGAACAATCTAGCATATTTAACATTAATACCAGTGTGTTTTCTAGTGTTATTAGAGGTTTTAGTCTTTCTTTAAGCCTAAGGTGTAATTCGCTTGCAATATCACTTAATATTCTTACGGAGGTATTTTTAATGCCGCTGTTCATTACCTTAAAAAAACCAGGGGACTGTTGTTTTTTGGGGCATAAGGTCAAGTTTTTTCTGTAGAAACGATAAACCGACATTTAATATATCAATTTGCAAGCATATCAAGCACAGTCTGTTGCCGGTTACCACATTTTACAATGGCGCAGATGACAGCCTCATCGCAACCCGTCCTCCTAATAGAACGTCGCATTTTGACGTATACTCTACCTAAGTAGAGTATACGTCAAAAATCGTCGTACTAGAAAATGGTTCCGGCTGGCAAAACTGACATACTGTTACGTTTTCTGTTTTGGGTCCTCGGGAAGGTTAGGAGAGGGCACGCTAGTACGACAGTTTCTCTACGTTGGAAAACCCTAGGAGGATGGACTGCTTATCAAGTTGTATAGATATGTCAGCTACCAGTCTATGCATCAACACATCGAATAACGTAGGGTTGAGCACTCCTTCCTGAGGTGCAAGAAAAAAAATGAGATGAGAGAGATTAGTAGGTATATTAAAGCACATTGGTAGCTCTGATTAATTGCATTGACAGCTTGATTGGTAATTTAAACAAGATTAATAGGCACCATACAGCAAATTGATAGCACATATAAAAAGACAGCAATGATCACAATGGTAAAGTTGTTTGGATTAGGTACATAAAGATTGGGAGATTGGGTAGCACTAGATACAGGGCAATTTTAAAGCAACAAGGTAGGAAACTATGAAGATGAATATGAATTATATAACTAGTGAAGATTTAACTTTGCCTCAAATCTAGAAGGTTTTGTTGAAGTTCTTGTATTAATATTTTTCTCTGGCTGCAGATTCTTTCGTTTTTTTCTTAACGAAACGTTTAGCTTAACGTTTTTCGGGTGTTTGCCCGAAACGCTGTACTCACCTCACCTAGCTGTGCGTATTAGTGGCTTCAGGCATTGTATGTACTAGCTCTATTTATTAATCCAACATTATGTTTGTAACTCATTTTCAATGTATGTACCTTTACCTGAATAAATATCTTAAGGGTGGGTATGAGGTTTATTTACGTACATCTTCTTCATTTATTTAAGAAAGAAAACGAAAAATAAATTTTATGGTAGACATAAATATTTACTTTAATTTACCCACGGCCCACTTGAAATCCAACATTTCTAACTCAAAATGAGCTTGTAACTCATTTTGTATGTATTTACTTTTCCCAAGGTAAACAGGCGGTTCCATGGATTTATAACCCATTGGTTGAAAAAGCATCTCCTGTTTTCAGTCCTACACCTTAGCTTTTTAAGCTTGAAACCGTTACTCCTTCTGTGTCTGCGTTACATCTGATCTTTTGAAAATGTTGTTCGGATCAACATCCTCCAAATTGTTCAGTATTTTGAACGTTTTCGATATCATCCCTATCATGTCTGGCTTGCAGTGTTGTTAGCCCTGTGACCCTCAACCTGTCCTGGTATGAGAGTTGACATAGTTCTGGAATTATTTTTGTTGCCCAGTGTTGAACTGAAAAATATTAAATACTTTCAGTGTTGAACGTACACATTAGGCTTCAAATAGTGTGTATTAGGCCTAGGCTGGTTAGATTGGGTTAGGTTATATTTCTTTAGCAGCAAACAGAAAAACGTCCGGTTTCTCCCTAAACAATAATGCAAAAATTGTACTTTCTATTGGTCCATCACGACCATATTTGAACTATCTACAACATTGTTACTATAAGTACTTTCATTTAAAGAGGCTGGGCCGCCCAATACTCAATTGGCGCAATCTTTTGGGGTGGATCCAGGTAGTGCCGAGTACACTATCTGGTATATTAATTCATTTGATATAATTATTTTTATGCATTGACAGATATATTTAATTCAACATTTATAATATGCATTTTATATGTATTGAACCAAAACTAACTTAGCAGCCTAACCTAACTGAAATATGTCGATTATTCCTTAGTACTGCCTAACTAAAGTAAAATTTGCCCAATTTAAAACGATAACTTAGGTAGTTAGTTTAGTTTAGTTCATTTATTATGCACCCCATACCCATCTTGTGGGCGATAGTGGAAAGGGTTACAGAGGCACATAATGGGCTCAGGGACTGAATCCCACAGTTCATTTAGCTAAGCAAGTTACAATCTTGATAAGCTAGTTACAAAATTCAATATAAGTCGTCATATCAACAATGGGTTCGAGATCAACCACAAGTAATCATCTACGTATGGCTGGTCGTCCTGTGAGGTGGGGATGTTGGATGAGCTTGTAACTGGTATTTGACCTACACAGTGTGGTCCTTCATACAGAATACGGTAGCAGCACATTGCTGTATGTACCTGGGCTTGTAAAAAACAACAACATTGTTTGAGAGGAATCATGTAGAAACTGGTAAGAGTAATTATAATACAATGTTTCCATGATCCAGTGCTTAGCTCATGTGAAAATTGTTAAACTGTTGTTTAGTCAGCGTTGATTTGTTTTTACATTGAAGCAGGTATTTTCTCCCTTGATTCCATGTATGACTAATCTTCCTGTGAGATGGGAATATTAGATGAACTTATAGATAGTTTTTGATCTACATTGTGTAATTTTTCATATAGAATAGGGTAACAGCATATTGCTACTGCAACCCATCCTCCGAATTGACAGTACGTTTTAATACTAAGTGTAATAAGTACATTTCCTGACTGTTAGGAATAGTACATAATTACACTTGCTTGTGCCGTTACATTTACCTCCCCATTTTATATATATATATATATATATATATATATATATATATATATATATATATATATATATATATATATATATATATATATATATATATATATATCCATCCCACCAGGATCAGCAGGTGGGTTCACAGGACTAAGACCCAACCACATCAAACAAATGCTCAACCCTGCATTGGGAGACATTGCACAGGGCCTCCTGGTGGAACTAACTAGATTCGCCAACACATGTCTAGCTGGCAATATATCAGAGACCATACGGCCTCTCTTTTTTGGCGCTACCTTCTGTGCCCTGAGGAAAAAAGATGGAGGAATCAGACCGATAGTTGTGGGCAATTCACTCCGACGCCTTGTCGCTAAGGCTGCTGCTAGAGCAGTTAGTCAGGCAGCAGCCGACATGCTGAAGCCAAAACAGCTTGGGTTTGGCATTTCCCAAGGGTGTGAGGCAGCGGCTCATGCAGCTAGAGCCTACATTGCCAAAATTACGGATGAAAAAGCCCTGATAAAACTGGACTTCAAAAATGCTTTCAATCTGGTTAGAAGGGATGCAGTACTCAGTGCGGTTCATCGCCTTTTTCCTTCCCTCTACCCGTTTGTAAACTCATGTTACAGCAAGAATCTAACTCTGCTATTCGGGGAACATGAAATTGAATCACAAGAAGGTGTCCAACAGGGTGACCCCCTTGCTCCTTTTTTTTCTGCCTAGTCATCAAGGAAGTCACCGATAACATGTCCAGTGAGCTCAATATTTGGTTTTTGGACGATGGTACTCTAGCCGGCTCCAAAGCCTCACTCTTGGACGACATAAGAATAATTCAGGAGCAAGTCTAGGCCTCACCATGAACTCTTCCAAGTGCGAAATAACCTCCACCAACCAGCACATAATAGAGCAAATAAAGGTTGTTTTGCCTCATATTCATACAACCAACCCTCAGGAAAGCACACTCCTAGGTGCTCCTCTTGGAAGGAATGCCATCGACGAGGTCCATGGAAAGAAGATCACTGACCTGAAGAGGATGAACGAGAGGATTGAAGACATCGATGCTCATGATGCACTTTACCTCATCACCAGATGC